CCTGACTTTGTTTTTTATTTCACGATTCAACTGAAGATAAATATGCTGGCTCGGTCTTCCTGCAGACGTCTTTCTTCCATCAAGTCGAGGATTTCATCGGTCATCCAAGTTTTTTTCCTGACCCTATTGTTGATGGAATTTCTGAGCTGACGCTAACAAAGGCTTACCTGATACCGGTACATTGTATGTGATCAGTTCTTAATTAAATCTTCCACAAGTACTAAATTTCTTGGACTTCAGATCGACGTCAGTCTAAAATTCCAATTACATATCTTATCACTAAGCAAAAAACTCGCTTCAGGGTGTTATTGTGTCCGAGCCGTAGCTACTCACTTAGGTTCACAAACTGCAAAATCAGTCTATCATGCAGTGTTTGAGTCACATCTTGCATACGGCTTACCTTTCTGGGGATGTTGCAGTCAATACTTGTTTGACTCTGTTTTTAGACTGCAAAAAAGATCGATAAGGTTCATTACATGTGCCCCGATAAGAACTCATTGTAGACCACTATTTGTACTTCATAAAATCCCTACTCTATCCTCACTGTTCATTCTAGAAACTGTTAGTCTAATACATAAAAATCTTCATCTGTTTCCAACTACCCAGAGATCTCGAACCACACGTCAAACAAACATAAATGCTATACCTCTTCCTACTCCTCATACCACACTGGTACAAAAATCAATAATTTACAACAGCCTAAAGATTTATAATCACTTACCTGATAGCCTATTATCCATGTTGGATCTTGGCAAGTTCCGAAAAGCACTAAAGGAAATTTTGGTTGCACAAGCATTTTATTCTATTGAGGAATTTCTTAATTTCTCCTTCCGTGAAACAAGGACCTAAGTACTGAAAAGCTATCTATTGAACCCCACCTGGTTATATTCTGTTGTTCATTGTGTGATAGTGTTTTCCTTCTGTATGAGTTTATGAAAACTTTCCAATATATTATGCTAATTACCTAAGTACTGTTTCTAATTTTAAACTATTTATATGTATTGTTTTTTTTTTCTATTTTAGACTGTTCATTTGTTTTTTCCTAATTATTTATTGTTCTCCACAGATAATATTGAAAGACCTTGTTGGGTGCATATTAACCAAATTAGTTGCTAATCTTTTTTTATCATAGCTTTTTATCTATTTGTTGAGAAATATGAAGCTATCACTTGTCAGATATTTTTGTTTTTCTATTGTTCTTGCTTTTTTTTACTCTGAGTGTTTTTATATGTAGATACTTTATTCGTAATTTTAATAATGAATAGATTTAAGTGTTTTAAATTAAGTTTGCTTTGTCAATAAGATTTAGAGTTTCTTGGACAATAAAGCATGTGTACTACTACTACTACTACTACTACTACTACTACTACTACTACTACTACTACTACTACTACTACTACTACATACAGTCTCCACTTCTTGATTCTCTGCCCTGTTTATAACGTTTAGTTTATTATCTAATTCGTCTCTAACATCGGCCAGAGTTGTAAAGTTGTTTAGTATTGTCAGATCCAGTCTCGGGCTATTCGTTTTCTTTTTAGTGTTAACTGGATGATTGCTACAAGCGGATTGTGATCCGAATTTATCTTTGAAGTCTTCGAAGATTTGATGCAATATCATTCGAATCAGCAGAAGCAGAGGGACACCTCATATATAAGTTACTTATTGGATGAGTAACTTATATTATACGGGGTGTCCTAATAAAAAAAATCAGAACCGATATCTCGAAATCGAGGCCAAATAGAAAACACTGAGAATATCACTGGATTCTGCTTGAAAAACTGCTTTCAGAAAGTTTTCAGGGAAATCATTTATTTCCATGAATAAAAAAGTTATGAAGCTTTTCCTATTGAAAGTGTTTAAATTGGACCAGCCTGTATATGCTAGAAATTAAAATATCATTTTTCCGCAAACGTCAAAAAATTACGACTTTTTTAACCTCAATTCTTAATGTTGCAGTTTGACTTCACAGACGTCATTCTTTGTTACTTTTTTGTCCGCGCGTTCCGTGAGCGTACAAAATAGTTATTTGTGTATCAAGGCCGTAAAGTTGATCTTTTTTGGCCGAATCAGAAATTTGCGGCCGAGGCGCAGCCGAGGCCAAGCAAATTTCAGGTGAGGCTAAAAAAGATCATTCGGCCGAGGTGCACACAAAATTTTTTAGGCGAGTGTTAGTTCTTGAAAAAAGAAGAAAATTCAACAGTAGCTATAAACTTTATTGATCAAATAAATAATCCAGCAAAGATAGGTCGATACACAATTATTAATAACAAAAACTACGATAAAGAGAATGTGATTATAGAAAATTGCCGACTTTTTGCCTTGTATCTTACATTGAGCTTTTTTAAAAAAGCAATCAATTTTGAAAACTTGCTGATATGTCAGGTATTTCCGACTATAATTGTAAATTTTAACATAGAGTATAACATAGGTGGACCTGAAGACCATAACGTTGAGGATTATTTAATTTTGGCATTTTCCGAAAAAAATGGAAGAAAATACTTCACCCAAAATTTTAATCATGCCTTTTTTTTTAGCATTTCATGTGGAAATTTGGCTAGAGCTAAAATTAAAAACTTGGTTTCATTGTGGTTACTAACTAATTGTTTATTGGTTGTGTTGATGGTTACGGTACTGCGTTTCCGATTGTTTGTTTATTTTCACCAAAGTAGCGGCCGTAAAGTAAAAGCGGCCGTGAAGTAAAAGCGGCCGTAAAGTAATAAAGCAAATGCGGCCGTGAAGTAAATGCGGCCGTAAAGTAAATGCGGCCAAAAAAGATATACTTTAGGGATGATATTGAATCCGTAAAACTAATCTTTTTGTGACAGTCGCCTAAAAAAGTACTTTTTACAAAAAAGTGACGTCACATGCGGAAAAAATCGCATGTTTTATTCGGAGAAAAGCACAAAAAGTATCACTTTTACTCCTAATAAAACAATATACCATTTTTATGGAGTACCTATACATATATTGTTTTTATTATATCAACCAAAGTTAAATTACAATATTTTACAAGTAGATAATAGAAAAAAACTTTGACCTAATTTTTCAGTGTCACCCTGTATCGCTACAAGGACGGTGCAATAAAAGAAAATGCTTATTTCGACTTCTTAAATAATATACTAAAGTCATCTAGTTACAACAAAGCACTCATCTAGAATTTTCAGTCTGAATAAATATCCCGTCCTTTTAGTTTTTTTTTTTTTTTTCTCAGAAGGCAATATCAGAAATTTTGTATCATTTGTGAAGTTGGCTTGGTGAACCTTGCAAATTCCGAAGAATTTAATTTGCAGGTTGCAGGATAGGTAGGTTTCTATTTTTTTGCACTAGCTGATTGGTTTGGCTCATTCCGGAACATCGCATTTATGTGCGAATCCGGCAAAACCAATTATAAAAATTAGAACTGGGAAATTTTCAAGCATATAATAGTTATTTACATTACCTACAAGTGCGTTTATGGACATGATTACAATAACGAGTGTGAAAGATTAGAACGACGAGGTCGTAGACCGAGTCGTTCTAATCACACGAGTTTTGTAGTCATGTTGAAACGCACGTGTGATGTACAACCTACTATCTACAAAGCGAAAAATAAGAATGTTTATGCACTCCAGGGATTAGAAGTGCCCTTTTAATCCCTGTTTTAAGGGAGTGAAGTGGGTGTTTTAATCCCCGGGATTAAATTTCACTTTTTTTCCCGAGGATTAAACTTTCACTTCATTTCGCGGGGATTAAATGAAACAGGGAAAAAAATTACCCTTTTATTCCTTGTTTTATTTAATCCCCGGGAAATAAAATAGTGCATAAAATAGTGTATATGTTACGCTCAATAGTCGAATTCGGGCAATGCCCGAAAAAAATACGCAAAACTAGTTTTGAGCAACAAATATTTCCCAAACCCACAATTTTAATTTTATACGCTTATTGCGCATTACAAGATAAGCAGAACTAGTTTTGCGCTTTTTGATATGTATAATACTAGTTCTGTACATTTCTATTACAGCTTACAACCTCCCAAATCCAGATAAAAAGTAGGGTTATGTTGCTATTTTGAATTTATTTCGTTATTTGTTTGTGCTCGTGAATTTGTGGATGTTACAGTAATTATTATAAGTAAGACTGGTCCCCATCTATTCTTCAATCTGATAATGGCCGTGAATTTGCAAACCCAAGTTATAAATAATTTGAAGTGTCAGTGGTCCCATTTGAAAATCGTACATGGAAAACCGCGTCACTCACAAAGTCAAGGTTCAGTAGAACGTTGTAACAGAGATGTGCGAATAACTGGATATTTGCCTAAGAATAAAGATTTATTTGTTTTATTTGTCATTATCTAGATAAAATAGGTATATTTAAATAATATTTTTTTCGGCTTCATGTATGTTTGTTTTATTTGGACACTGAAAAAGGCAGAACTAGTACTGGTTATTCAAAAATGTACAAAACTAGCTCTGTACATTTTGAAAAGTGAAAAACTAGTTCTGTTTATGTTTTAATTCTCAATAAGCGTAAAAAATTAAAATTTTGGGTTTGGAAAATTATCGTTGCTCACAACTAGTTTTGCGTATTTTTTTTGGGGCATTGCCCGACTTCGACTATTGAGCATAACATATACACCTCAGGATTAAAGTGTTTCTTAATCCCTTGACAAATTATAGCCTTCCCTAAACTTTTTGTCTCGGGATTAAAAGTACCATTTTAGTCCCTAGGTGTATAATAAACTATTTTTCAATTATTTTCGTTTCTTAGGTAGTAGTTGTCTAGCTTCATTTTACCTTTACAGGTTCAACTTTGACATTTGTCAAATCACCAAAAATAGTTGTGTTATAGATTCATAACCTAGTCCATAACACCACTTGTTATGTTATAAGTTTCATGACATAGGTACCTAACTCAAATACTAGCAAAGTGGTTATGTAAAAACGTTATAACCAAACGCTTGTATATAAACAAATTAATCAAGTTTTAAGTTCAATTTGTAATGATTATTCATTTACTAGGGCTCTTATATGTTCAATTATGTAATCGACACTGGAGGCATACTGAGTCAACAGACAGAAGAATCGCACAACAATGTTGTTCTGGGATCTTACAGCTTTTTACAACCAGATGGCAGAATAAGGGTGGTCCGATATAAAGCTGACGCAAAAAAGGGATTCATAGCCGATATAAAATACAGAAAACTGTTTCGTAAGTAGAAATTTCACCTATTTGAAAGTTCTAAATTTAAAGATCAACCTAATGACCATGACCTAGAAGTAGTCACCTCCTCACATGCAAACACTTAAACTATAGTGGCAAATTAGATGTCAGTAAGCCTTAAAATTATAACGTAAATGAAGAATGCTAGAATAGCAAGACCATTAAATAATAGACTGAAGGCTTTCACAAAGTTTCTTAGTGGAGGAAGACTTTTGTGTTCTTTTTTCTCATTTTTGTATTTCAAGTTTTATAGAAAAACTGGTATTTATTATGTATAGATCGCCTTCTCAGCTATTTTGCTATTTTTGAGTTATGTATATTAATAATTTCAACTGCGAAACGTGCATAAGATGATCGCAACCCAATATATGAGGCTAAAAAATTGAAGGAATGACCATAAAACAAATCATTAATTTGATGAATTGAACAACATTCTCCATATAATTGCTGGCAATGATCTTTATTTTTAAATGTCGACTCTCATGTAAGTGAAACGTTCAATTAATCGGTAATAGTTATTGATGGACAGATCAATAAAAAAAGCAGGTATTTTTTAAATAGTTGAACTAAGTCATAACTCACTGGCTAGTCAGTTAAACGCCACAATGTTCTTAAACTTGAACCAATTATAGTGGCATTATATATTTTAGTATTGGATATTCTATGTTTTGCCTAGATTCTGTCGTTTGTGTAGCCTATTGAGTCAGGGTTAAGTGTCTAAATGCCGCAGTGCCTAAATTACTTATTTTACGAACCCTTGACAGGGCACTGTCAGATGCATCGTTCTGAAAAAATACTATTTCAAGCATTGTTCACTTTATACCCACATTTGCGAACATAATATTATTATAACTATCCCAAATAGAGACATAGTTTTGTTTAAAATAATTTCAATGATTTTAGTTTAAAGTGCAACATACGTGTTATTCAAAAAAAAAATCGCAAAATCATCAAAGAAAATAGATAGGAAGAAATGAACCTTTATTAAACACATGTTTTACTATAAATAAGTCACGTAAGTATTTTTTTTTTTAGTTAACAATAAAGGACCATTAAGATTTCCAAGAGATTTTATGTATCCACTCAGACTGGCAGATCCAGTTAGTATTATACCAAGACATTTTTTTGAATCTCTTCATAATCAAAAGAAGTTTCATGGTTGAGAAAAAAATTTGAAAATTGTTAAAAAAAAAGGCTAGTGTTGAAGTGTATAATAATTATTTGTAAATATTTTGTACTTTTTGTGTAATATGTGTCATAATAAAGAACAATACCGGCAAAAATCGTTGACATTTTCTATTCCTGTATATTTTTTTATTATTGAAATATTTACTTTAATTGGTTGCTCTTTTTTCAGTTTATTAAAGGATAAGGTTACCCACATAACAGTAAAAGAACATTCATATTCTCAGAATATTCCCTCAAAGTGCTTTTTGGAATGTTCTTTTAGGAATATTTAATGAATATTCTAAGATTGTTTCGATTGAATAATTCATTTTTGAACGTTCTATTTATGTACTAGGAATGTTGCTTCTATGCACCTACCTGAAAGATTGTGCTAAGAACCTACTTTATATAACATTATTTGAATATTGTCATACGAACATTATTATAATGTACCTTAAAAAATGTTCTTTCGGCTAATATCTCTATCAAGTATTAAGAATATACCTACCAATTTGTGCTGAGAAGTTTATGTCGGTAGGTAATCATGATAAGAAGATTTTCATATTGTTCACCTAATTACCTAAAGTACCTACTCAAAAATCTCAATTGAACAATTAAACAATAATGCTCTATCTAGAACCTACTTACTTATATTATAGGTATATTCTTTTTCTTTTGCTTTGTAGGACTTCCAAGAGAGGGAGTCACGCGCTATTAAAGATCCACATCTTGCCTAGGGTTTGAATCACCTTGGAACCTGTTTCTCTCAGTTGGCGTGCTTATACCGCGACGAGAGCATAACAAGCTCGAAACCGGAGCTTTGGTTAAACACTTGTGTTTTCCAGTTTCACTGCCTTTAATATAAAAGGCCTGAAAGGAGTATTATTTGGAAGCGAAAATTAACATTTCAAGTATATCCTTAGAATGAAACAAGAATGTTATGTTTAGGATGCATATTGAGAATGATATATGTAGATATATTCTAAGAATGTTTCAAGCATATTGGTATAATATTCTTTTGAGAACATAACTATAATGTCATAGAAACATTCTTTGAATGTGAGAATATACATTTCGAGCATATTTTTAGAATCAAACAGGAATATTCTTTTCAGGATGTACTGAGAATCTCATAGGTATATTCTAGGAATATCCCAATGGATTTCCCAGGAAGTTCTTGGGTATTGCAAACAGTATTTCTACAATCTTTTCTCAGAACATTCTCAGGACATTCGCTATGGTTTTGGCGAACATTCTTGGCACATTCCTCCTGAAAAAAGTACATTCTTATTACATTCTAAGGATGGAATTTTGTTATGTGGGTAGGCATAATATTCTACCTGAGTTAATGAAGCCATACCTATTAATAATATTCCGTTGCCGTGTCTTTGACAGAGAGTCAAAACTATAATCTTACGATATTTTCTAAACAGCTGGAGATACAAAAAAGTACACGAATGTGTTAAGTGCATATAGACCCGTCAGCTAATGACAGATTTTTGTGACCGATATTCTCTTTTCGGGGATTTCAACCACTGAAAATTGTGTCACTGCTGAGCTCAATAAATGAAAAATATAGCGACCGGACGTCTTCTAGACATATGGGAAATTTACTTTCCTTTCGCAGCGGCCGGAAAAAATACCTCAACAAGATTTTTCTGCTGCAAAAGGAAAATAAATTTTCCATATGCCTAGCAGTGATGTTCGGTCGCTAAACTTTTATTTTTTGAGCTCAGCACCGACAAAATGTTCAGTGGTTGAAATCCTCGAAAAGAGAAAATCGGTCAGCAAAATCTGTCATTAGCTGACGATCTAATAGTAACGTCACAAAAAAGTAGCGCTAGTGACATTTAAAACAACTATGTAGCGTCCAAAGGTTGGCTATTTAAATGCAAATTATGAGAAATTGAATTTGTTACGAATACCTGCACTGTTTGCATCCCTCATCGGACCGTATCTGAATGAGTATAGCTTATCTGATTAGTATAGTATCAAATCATTCGCAAATAGTGCCTATAAAAATTCGTAACAAATTTGTATGAAGTCCACTGCCCATCATCATCACCATCATAGACATTCACTCACTAATGAGTATTATAAGAATCTTGGCAGCATCGTTCCAAGGCTTTTGATCATGTGTGGTACAAAGGTCTCCTCAGCAAACTTCCATCGTATGGTCTTCCGAACGAATTTTTCCATTGGGAGCTTTTTGAAAGGCAAGACACTGCATGTTCTGGCCGATGGTGTGTCTCCTGCTACACTGCCTTTAAGGCTCTTTTCTGTCCCCAAGACTGTTTCCCATTTTTATGAATGATTTGTTAAATGTAACAAGAAAACTGGACAGTATTCTCAAATAAAAAATCTTCCGTTGATGATAATTCAGCTTTAAGGATGTTGGGATAAAACCTAGAATCAATCCCTCAGTATCTCTTCTTAGGGTTAACCGCATCGTTGGCTCTATTAGATGAAGTATAAAGAAGTGCAATAAAAATTTATAATCCAACACTCACCGATTCATTGCAATCTCTCGAACATAGACGCAAGGTGGTCGACTTATCGTTATTCTACCATGGGAGATATTCTGACAATCTGGGCAGCCTCATTTCAGCTACTAGAGGTAATTTAAAAACTACAAGAGCCTCACAGGCATCCCATTCATATGTGGTAAAGTTGACTACCCCGAGGACCTCTAAATATAGGGCTTCTTATAGGAAGCATACTACCTGCCTCCTACTTCATTTCCTGAATGATTTAACCTCAACGTGTTCAAACGGAGGGTTGATCGTCACGTAATTCCGCTTATGGTACCGCTTGGATAGTATAGCCCAACAAACACAATTACATTCCAAAGACGTACATAAGGTGTAACGTTATGACATACTGTACGTTCGTAAGACGTCGATTTTAGAGCCAAGTACGTCTTGAAGACGTAATGGGCAAGTCGTATGTCAACTCCATAATACGTCTTAAAGACGCCATAAAGAACGTCCATAATACTTCTTGAAGACCTAATTAAGTACATATTGCAAACCAAATAAAAGAGGATTTTTTTACTCAAATCGTTTATTATTTATTCGCTATTAGCTTACTAAACCTGGAATAACAACAAAAGAAAAACATTAATTCAAAAGTATTGCAACTATACCTACATTATATAAATAAAGCATAACCTAAAAGAACTGCAACAACCGAGGCAACAACATTCTGTTAAGGATTGATTGGGTTGGGACTCTGGTAAACTAATTAGCACAACACTGTTTCAACTGAACTGACTGAACTTAATTTATTAATAAAATTGGGAATATTCTGTCTATAACAACCTTAGAGCAGGTCTACAGTAGAACTAATTTTTAATCCATCAGCATCACAATAACACATAAACTTTTTTGCTTATCTCACTTCTGAATTTGTAGGGATGGGTCTAATTAACTAAATTGTTGTTGTATTTTCTTTGTTAAATAATTTTCACATAACTTTTGCACAAAATTTCTGACAGGCTTCTAACGAAACGTGTCGTTCGCCACCTCACATAAGACATAAAGACATAACGACATAACCTCAATCTCGGAACAAGGATATTACACCTCTCTTTCACTAACTACCCTAACATCTACGTCATCATTTATCAAATTTCAAAATGACCATAAATGAGAGCGAAATTGAAAGAAAGTCTGTTTTTTTTCTAAATATAATTCCCCAAACAAAAATTTAGTAACTATGTTGGCAACACAAGCCTTTTCTACATAAAAAATTTAAAAGCATTGACAATTTCACATTGTATTGCCAACATACCTAATGTCATTTTGACTTTTATCTTTTAAAAAAAAAACAGACTTTATTCAAATTTAAATTCCTACAGATCTGTTTGTATTTTACCCTTTAAACATAAAACCAAAATGGTCGACCTAACTGTACGTCATATGGATGTTTAATATGTACCTACATAAAAGGTACAAAAGTGTACGTCTTATGTACGTTCTGAATAGTCATATGACGTACGGACGTAAATATGACATAAAATGGACGTTTTAAGTATGTAGTGTGTTTGCTGGGTATTGACCCACACCACACCTAATTATCCACTGAGTAAGCTGAGCATATTATGGGCCTCTAGTTAGGTAATTAACAAGGGGGTTTACAGATTTGAATATCAATAGAGCCCTTCTAGAAGATATATTTATATATATATATAATTTGGAGAGGATATCGGGTAGCGGTCTGGACTAGTGAAACTCATTTGTTTTTATACTCAATATTTCGTCTTATATTTTAGACTTCATCAGGAGAAACTACAAGAAAAATAATGAATAAAAATTTTTTGGTATAAATAACAGAAATGGCAGTTTAAAATGAATTGTACAATAATAAAATAAGGAACAAAAATAATAAATAAATTAAATATTACTTACAACACAGAGCTAGTCGAGATTTTTGTATTTTACTATTTTTAATAGATTTTGATGTCTTTTTTTAGAGAAAAATTTTTTGCAACGAAATTGTCAGTCAAAGTCTACCGAAAAATTAAAATTTCAACTGGTTATTGTGGTATGATCTAAGAATATGAACGTTCCATATAATGTTTACAATAGTCAATTGACCTTTTCAATTTAAAACCCACTCTCTCTGGCATCAAAATGTCAGATGCCAAAAGAGTATGAAAACAATGGTTGACAGCCTTTGACAGTGGTTTGTAGACAAGACTTTTGAAAAAAATCTATTATTTCCTCGGTTTTTTCTCAACAATGGTGATTCTGTGTAGTGTGCCTTTTCATAAAAATAATTCCTATTCACCGGCGGATGCGTTTTTCCATAAGTTTCCATCAAATTATATATTTGTCAAAATTTGGATACACAAAATCAGAAAGGATAAAGGATACTCGCAAAAGAAAGGGAAATCCACGTCCCATTATCAAGTATACAAAGTAATCCACGTTCAAGTTCAGTTTGCGGAAGCTGTTTGCTTCCAGAATAATCCATTACCGTCTTCATAGCGAAGTTCTGCGAATGAAGCAGTGACTTTTTCCACATTTTCTTCTCAATTTCAAACCCTGCGCAAATGTTACCGATGAATCCACCATTCTATGTTGGTC